CATCACAAGGCAGAGCCAGGTTGTTTCTTCCCTGCCCTGCCTGTGCATCCTTGCAGGAGATTGACAACGTCTGGATCGCCAGTAAACTGAGCCGGGAGCTGCCGTACGTACCCCAGCTCCCTCCCTGGGGGGGTCTGGCTCATCCCTGGCCCCGCTGCCTGTGGTTTGGCTGCCTTTACGCCTTTCTGCAGCCCCTATTTCCCCAGGGTCTGCTCTGTCGGGGAGTGAATTGGGGTGGCAGCGTTTTGGGGATGCCCTCGTGCTGCGCGTCGTGCCGGGGGTGTGGGGGAGGGCGTCCCTGGCGACAGGGCTGGGGGTGCCACGTGCGAGCTCTTAGAGTTGCCTGCGCTGTTTCTCCCCAGGCGCTACTTTGAGCTGTGTTTCGGCGAGGTGCGAATCCGCACGGATCTGCAGAAGGGCGCTGGGTTCCAGCCTTCCGGCCCGGAGGCTCCCAGGGATGCCGATGGAAGCGAAAACAGAGCAGACCTGACCCTTAAACCCTCCCTGCTGAGGCTCCTTAGCCAGGTGAGGCACTGGCACGGTGAGAGGCTGCCGTGGGCTGCGCTGGTGTTGGACATCCCTCACCTTCCCACCTTCCCCCTCAGCTCTTTTCCATCCACATGGACTCCATCAACGTCATGGTTCTGCACGTGGCCACCTCGGAGTCTCTCTGGCACATCCAGGCCAGCAAGACCCGTTTCCTCCTGAATGGCGATGGGAAGAGGTAACGCTGTGCTCGCATCCCGTTCTGCTCCCCCAACCCGGTTCCAGGGGGCAGGGAGATGCCTCCGACTCCAACCAGGCTCCCCGTTGTCTCACCTCACCCCATGCCGCTCGGCAGCATCCCGTGTCGCGTGTGATGGACACATTAACCTCCGAGGTTGGCCCGCTCCCTTTTCCCTTCATGGGAAGCTTGAGTTGTGTGTTCTCCAAATTACAAGTCGGGATGTGCTTGGCTTTTGGGAGGACTTGGAGTCCCTGTATCCCACGGAAAAGAGAGGGCAGGGGCTTGGTTTGGAGGCAGCAGGACCCGCAGCCTCTGTTCTCTGCCCTCCCCAGCCTGACCTGTGAGGTGAGCCTGACAAAGGTGAACAGCAAGGTACTGCGGAGCAGCCAGCTGGTGAGTGCTGGGAAAGGGGGAAATCCAATGCTCCGGGCCTGGAAC